TCAACTGATGACGACTATCCGTCCATTGATAGTTTAGAAAGTTCGCCGAAATATACTGGCAAAAAGACATCCAGCATGATAGTCATTAGTGAGGAAGAAACTAGAAAACCCGATTCAAATCAACATATCAATTATCCACATGCTCAAAAATTAGATGAAAGTGAAGTTTTGATTGTAAGCCATAATTTTGCAGATGATGAGAACACTTCTATTATTACAGGAGATCACAACATGATTGGTAATCCAGATGTAATTGACACTAGTCACGTTTCTGTAGTAACAGTAGGTCAAGAAATTAGAGTCAAAGATAGTTCAAATGCTAAATCCACAGAATCTTATAGCGACTTATCTTCGACTAGTGGCATTTATAGTGATGATCATATCTTAATAGAAAATAAATTTGAAACATCTGAATTGAAAGGACCTACAATTGAAACAACCAACACTGAAATTGGTATAATAATTGACAGGAAAATTCCTACCAAATTTGATCAACAGTTAAGAATTTCGCCAGAACGATCAGAACGTTCAGTTGGTTCACTTGATTCCAGAACTCATTCAGAATGTGGTTCTGTGTTATCACATTATACACCTACATCATCTGGTATAATAAAAATTGATCGTAGTGATGCAGAAAGTGTGGCAACGACAGCAAGTCATGATAGTCGTGATTTAATTTATGAAGAATCACCCGTTGAACTTCGTTCAAAATCACAAGCTCCAGTACCAACAGTAGTAGAACAACAAAGAACAAAAGAAGAGGTACAGCTACGTAACTTGCGAAAGAAAACTAGAAAACGGACCAGAAAATTCGAAATAGATGGTGTCCAAATGACAACAACTACTAGTAAAGTAATCTATGGTGACGATGAAAATGGTAAATTGTATGACGATCATTTATTCCGCAAACAAGAACTAAGGGAGATAAAAATGTTACAAAAACAAGAGAAGAAGCAACAAAATGATTTAGCTTTAAAAGAACAAATAGCTAGGGAACAACAAGAACGGCGTTTTGAACAAGAACGAATGACATTGGAAAAAACTTTTGAAACCGATATGGAAAGTCTCACGAGACAACAGAAATCTTTTGTAGAGAAAACAGAACAACAACAGAAGGTTGAACTGACAGCTTCATCAAAACGTATCAGAGCAGAGCAAGAACAAGAGTTAAAACTTTTCCGAGACAATTTAAAACAAGAAATTCGGCTACTTAAACAAGAAATTGATTTATTACCCAAGGATGAGAGAAAGGATGAATTCAAAAAAAGACGTGCAGCTATGGAATTAGATCACGAAGAAAAAGAAAGATTATTTTTGGATTCATTAAAAGAAAGGCATGAATTACTTTTAAGACGTATAGGTGAAAAATATCAAGACAGATTGGGTACAATTGAGCGTAATTTCCAACAACAAAAGCAAACAGCTATGCGAACAAGAGAAGCAACCCTATGGGAATTGGAGGAAAAGCATTTGCATGAGCGACATCAGTTATCAAAACGGCATGTTAAAGATATGTGCTTTATGCAAAGACATCAAATGATCACAAGACATGAAAAAGAATTAGATCAGGTAAAACGAATGCTTCAACGCAAGGAAGAAGAATTATTAAAGAGACAAATGCTTGAAAGAAGAGCTTTACCGAAACGTATACGAGCAGAAAGGAAAGCCCGTGATATGATGTTTAGAGAATCATTAAGAATATCAACAAACATTGATCCAGAAGCTGAAAGAGAAAAATTAAAAAAATTCCAAGAGCAAGAAAAACGTCGTTACTTGCAAGAAGAAAAGCGTATTGAAATCAAACATCAAAAACAATTAGAAGAATTAAGAGCAACCAGAGATAGTACGATTAGAGAATTGGAACAGTTACAAAATGAAAAGCGTAAAGCACTTGTTGATCATGAAACTGCAAAATTACGTCAAATTGATGAAAGATTGCAACATGAATTACGCGAATGGAAAGCACAACTTTTGCCACGTAATCAAAACATGCAAATGTTAAATGAGGCTGCTTCCATGGGGATGGACGACTGGTCGTCAACAACAGGAAAGTCAGATTGCTAATATTATAGGTATGAATATGATTTAAAGAAACCAACAAAGGCAGTTATAATGAAGGCAGTTAAAATTTTATTTAAAAATAAGGATATGCAGCAACATTTTCGAGGACAGGCTATTTTTAATTTCATAAAAAATATCTACATATTTTAAGAAGAAAATTAGAAATCAAAACATAAGATGATAAGAAAAAAGGAGCTCACTTATTAGTTTAAATTTTTCAATCACTTAATTAAAGTAAGATAAGCAATTTATATGCAAACGTGAAAACTCCTATAGTGCCTGTCACAATTATCAAATCCAAAATGTCCCTTTAATATATTGGATTAATATTATAAAATATACATTAGGTTATTATTTTTGATGGTTAAGTACTTGATTAGCAATATCTAAAATTGACCTACTTAGCTAATATTTTTATTATTTTATCAAAAAAAAAAAAAATTGAAAAAAAATGAAAAAATAAAGTTTTTCAAGTTATACTTTTATACTTTTGATTTTAGTATAATATAATATATAATAATCATTATATAATATATATATATATAACTATGTAAACATAAAAAAGAAATAATATACATTTAATTATATTTCAAAACTTTTAATTTATGTTTTTGATATCTGCCCCTATAACTCGAGAAATGCGAAAATATTGAGTGATAGTAACTCTCGCCATAGGAAATAAATATATTAAAGTGTTTCCAAACATTATGGAATCAAAATTCTAATTCACATGGATAAGATATCTGAAGTTTTACAAATTTTAATTGTACTGATGTTATTTTTTGCCACACCTTAAAACATAAGTAGTTTTCTATGTATTTGCTTATTTATATGGTTATCTTGATAACTATTTGGTTCATCAGATTTAAATTTATGACATTTTACATTAAAATTTTTCTTAAAGAAAGTGATTTTTTTTGTTTGCCTATGTTTTGGAGTTTCTTACATTAATTTGAACGCAAAAATTACAAAACTTTTATCTTCTTCCTTAGATGCTACTATTATGCATTCTTTTTGATAATAACACGATACCAATAGTACTTTCATTACATATACGCATAGCTATAATTTAAGGTTGAAATAACCTGAATGCTCTAATCTAACATGTTTCACTAATGCTTTCTTCTAAAGTGAAGGGAGGTGTAGTTTTAAATGTAAAATATATGCGTTAACCTATGTGTATATGTTATCGCACTAATTGCCACATAGTTGACACTAAATTTTTAAAAATTTTAGGAATTTTATCATATTAAGTTGATAACAAAAATATCTTTGTAGTTTTTTTTTCTTTACTTTTTTAGTAGCAATTTTTTATTTTTAAATCTTGTTTAGACTTCTAATATTTTCTTTAAAAAAATTTCATTGCTTGTTGTTATTTCAAAGTACATACCTACACATTTATTATTTTAAAGTATTTAAAATATTTTTTTCCATGATTTTCTAAATAAATGTTATCATTAAAATATTTCATATTCGTTTCTTCCTTTTGTTTAAGCATGCTTCCAATATTTATATAGGTAAACAATCAATTTTAATACATTTATATAGCTTGTTTAAAAAAATCCAAACAAACACTTAAGTCCGTTGCCTTAGAATTTTTTTAGAATCAAATTTATGAGCTGATATCGAAAAACTTTTCTGCAGCATTATCAAATGCATCTGTTTCTCTTCTTTACATTTAGATGAAATGCGTTTTTCATCCAAAAAAATAATGATTTATTTTCTTTTAACGATATTACAAATCAAACGCCTTCATTTTTGAAAATTTATACTTTTTTTTTCTTCCGGAATCCATTTCTATTTATTGCACATTATTGTTGATCTTTCAAACAATCTCATGTATATTTATTTCATATTACATATTTTAAAAATTTCTATCAATCATTGATGCATTATATTCTTAAGGAAAATCAATATTTATTAAAAAAAATTAATAAAGAATATTTTATTATCAGTACAATGCATCTTAAATTGTTTTAATTGTCAGTAATTGGTAAAAGGTAAAATGTAATTTGTAAATATTTTGATTAAAGAAATGTCAATTTGAAAAAAAAATTTTGTAAACAAACTTTGACTTAACAAAAATATCAACAAATATAACTGTCAGCCGTGAAACAAACAATTTACACAGTGACCAAAGAAAGCTATCAAACGCCATCTGGTTGCGATTTAATATATTACTAAAAGTTGCCTACCCAAAATTTTGCCTTTTTAAGAACTTATATTATACTTATCCATAAGTTTTAAAGAAGATGCTAGGCTTCTTCATGAGAACATATTGAATTTGAACATTAAACGTTATCAGAAAATTAAAATAACTTAATTAAAAAGTCATTTAATTTTGATAAAAATGATGGTATTTTGAAACTACGTTCAAGGCGCAAGAATATCTATAGCAATAAGAGGAACTTATAGCTACACTTTTTAGCAAAGATACGTATAGAAATAAGAGAAATTTTATTATTCCCATTAAAAATAGGCACGTGTCTGGATTTACTAAAATCTAAAACTGGATAAAGTAGCGAAATTAGTTTATGTACTTACCACACTCTTAATTGAAAAATCTTATCCATTATAAACTTTCAAATCATTTGAACCAAAATTTTCTGTACGTTAAATGGACATTTAGCTAGAGGTGATACGAGTAACAAATTTCATGGGTGATAAACAAAAAAGATCTCTTAAAAAAAGGCAACCACAATTTAGTGTGTATTAAGGTACGCAAAGAGCTGTGTTTATATTGAAGAATTGCTCAATATTATGCCGACCAGAAATTTTTTTATGCTTCATAAAATACAAAAACTTGACAGCTTTGCAAGCTTTCTTTGACATTATATGAATAACTTTGCATTTAAAAAAATTTGATTATCTGAACAACTATGAATTCTTATTTCGTTTATTAATTTAATGATAAAATTTGTTTGGAGGGATAATTTTTATATATGTACGTTGCATACAAGCACATGTCAACAGACTTGTTCTGGCGCTTTTTTTTTTAAATCAAGTCAATTTGACTAGTTTTGAACGAAGAAAATTTGTTTGCCAAACCATAAAAAACTAGATGTCTTATAAAAGGAAGAATTACTTAGAATGGGAAGAATACTTTATGTTAACAGCTTTACTAACAGGACAACGTTCAAAAGACCCAAATACTCAAGTAGGAGCATGCATAGTAGATAATCAAAATCGGATTATAGGTGTTGGATACAATGGTTTTCCAAAAAATTGCAGCGACGATATATTCCCATGGAAAAAAACAGGTGATCTTTTAGAACAAAAATATATGTATGTAGTTCATGCAGAAGTAAACGCAATATTAAACAAAAATACAGCTGATACGAATGGATCTAGATTGTACGTTTCACTTTTTCCGTGTAATGAATGTGCTAAGTTAATTATACAAGGTGGTATTAAAGAAATTATATATATTTCTGATAAAGATGCAGAAAAGCCTCATACCATTGCAGCTAAAAGGATGTTTGATGCAGCCAATGTAAAATATAGACAATATTTTTTGAAAAATAAAAGTATTTCATTTGATTCTGACATAAAACAACAAAAAATTGAAAAATCCGAAGAATGCTTAAGAGGGAAGGAAATATTTTATTATCCTTTTATTTATTTAATTCCATTTTTTATATATAAATGTTTTTTTAGTAAAAATTGAAATTTTTTGATCAGTGTGTGTTAAAATAAGATACATATGTATGTACGTATGTATATATGTAAGTAAATTTTACATACTTAGTATTAACAATAATAATACCACATTACAGTATGTAGAATAGTACTTACCAATCTATGTAATGTAGTGTAAGTATATGTAAATGACGAATTGTAAAATATTTTGTGTCTTAAATTAATTTTACATATTTCATTTAGAAAAATTATGATATGTATGATATAATTGAATGTAAAATTTTAAAAGAATTTGTAAATTCATACAAATTTCGAAGAAAATTTGGAAATATAATATACAGAATTAGAATAACCACTAATTTTTACTAAAAAATGTAGCTACCTACCTACCTACTTTATGTATGTATTTGAAATTTTAGAAATTCCGTTTGATAAACATGGAAGCTTATTAAAATATGAGCTTGACTAAAATTTACAATATGCTGTTACTCTTATTAAATGTAAATATGTAACCGTATGCACATATATGTATCTTTAACTCTGTCATTTCTTTAAAGTTAAAACAAATAATTGAGCTGATTTTTTTTGAAAGTGGTATAAGTCCACTTTTTAAAAAGACTAAGTTAATAGAGATTTTGATATGACACCTTATCTCCAAAGTTATAATCACAATTTCAATAGTTCTGCTTAAACATAAAACAAAACAAATATGTTACTATGGTCAACATTTTTAAATTGATTCAAATGCAAAACCTTAAATATCTCAATATATGAAAAAATGGACTTATCTATACCACTTTCAAAAAAACCTGCTCAATTATGGGTGTTCACTATAGTGCACTATAATTTGATAATATCACAAGTCAGAAATAAAAATCTATGGTATTGCAAATGGACCAAATTAAAAATTACCTCGAATTTTTAATTTATTCTGAAAGTTTAGACTAGATTATTATTTTTTTAAGAAAATAGTTCCTTGACATACGTAACAAATCTTTGATCTCATAGAAAAAATGTTTGTGTTAAGCTTGTTGTTTTTACATCAAAGAATCGAATACATTCTTACACTTTCAAAGTAATCAGTATGAATTCAAAAAATCTTTAATCGTCTTTTCTTTACTTGAACAAATATTTTCAAATGAGAATTCACCTTTGGACAATATTATTTTCAAATGAAAAAATGAATAAATTAATTCTAAAATAAAAAGAAACCTCTTAAACCATTTTCACAAACAAAAAATATTAATTTCGAATATTATTGTATTTTATTATTAAAATTTTAAATTTATTAGTCGGTAATTTACATAAACAAAAATAATTCATTCTACTTTTTTTTTCTTTGATATCTTAATCTAATGTATCTAAATATGCATGTATAAATAAATGTATATCTGTACATATATATTCTTTCATATATATATATTTTCATGTATATGGATTTTTTTAATTATTTGTAGTTATATTATTACAAATTTTATATTATAAAATATTTATTATATTCAATTTCTTTTTTATAATAAATTGCTTCAACCCTTATACAATAATAATAAATTTTTCAATTTTCTTTCTTCTAGGGCAGTGATTTTTTATTTTGATAGCAAATGGAGGAAGCATTTTAAAAAGAAAATTTTTTTTGAATTTGAACTTTGTTAATTTTTTTTTTGTCAAATTTAGTATTCCAAATTATTTTTAATTAGTTATGTACTTATCTTAATTAGTTTTGAATTTTCGTTCTATTTTTAAAAATATATTTTTTAAAAAAACTTGTAGAAGATCAAGCGGATCATTTTAAATACCTAGAAAAGGTATCAAATAACCAGTATTTTATTAATTTCAAACTAAATTTTAAAACTAGAAAATAAATGGTTTGAATAAAATTATTGGTCTTTCAAAATTAGATGTTAAATTTATTATCAATATTTTTTTTCGATGATAAAAACGATGAAATTTCTTAAAATAATTGTTTTACAGAATATTTCTCTTAAAACTTTCATTAATCATTGTTCATTGTTCTATATAATATTCAAATTATTAATTAACAAATGTGCGAAAGTACATAAAAGAATTATCACTATATTATTTCGAAATTATTACATTTTATTATAATTTTTTTAAAAGATTTTTTCTATTTTTCTTAAATGAATATTCAATAAGACTAAATGCAAAAAAATTCTTTCATCAATATTTAAACTTTCATTAAATTAATAATAATTAATAGTTTATGTACATATTCAAACATATGTATAACCAATAGCTTTAAGTTATTATATAATTTTCATTATTTTCAAGTACCAACATTTTCAAGTTGAATACAATTTATTATCAATTACTTTAATCTTAAGTTAAAATAGAAATTACAAAATTTATAATCCTTACACATATTTACTTAATGTTCTTATCTTTTCATGTAATAAATTTATAAATTAAATTGAAAGTAATTAATTGTAATTTATATTGAAGTCCTTCAGAATTATTTTATTATTATAACTTGTTTTCATAAAATTTTCTAAAATATTCAAAATACAGAATTCAAATAATTGAATTTAAAAACAAAAAGTAAAAAAAAATAACACAACTCATTTTTGTTTGTAATAAAAAAAATTAAAGATAAATTTATTTTTTCTTTTCTTTTAAACATTTAAAAAAAAGTTCAACAAATTCAATAAATTATTTTAAATTTTATTTTTTATTATAAGTTCAATTCATGTATTAAAATTAAAAATTTCATGTACAAAAAACAATTGTATTTTTAAAGATTTTGCTTTATTTGAAAATTTGTCGGTCACGTCAAATTATCACTATATTCAATTAACGAATTTTTAAAAATATTTATTTAAATTGAAATTTTCAAATTACCTAAAAATAAACTTTTCATACTTTTCGGAATAATTTTTTTTTTACACAAAAACAGGCTAGAAATTTTAAGAGAATTTGTGCCGAAAAATAAATTTAATTCAAGCTTTTTATTTTTTCTTTTGCATATTTCATTACTAAATTAATATCTAAACAAACAAACAAATTTTTAATCACTTGAATTTATTTTTTATTTTATGTGAGTGACACCACAATAAACGAATGGAAAATAATATTAAATACAACGATTTATTAAAATTAAAAGTCGTCAAAATTAAACTAATTGATTAGGATAATTAATATACTAGGTGAAAAAAAATACTTAAAAATAAAAGCTAAATTTTGGATGAAAATTAGCGAAAACATTTTGTATATAATATATTGAACGTATGTATTTCTAGACTATATCAACAATTTTGTATTTTATTTATATTCAAAAATTATTTATAAAAAAAATTACTTCTTAGAATTTTTATTTTCTTTTCTATATTAAAAAAAAACAAACAAAAAAAAGAAAAAACAATTTTATGTCTTATAAACGTTTTCTCATTTTGATTTTACTGGGACTGTTTTTCGTGATGTTTAAAACAGCAATTGATTGCCTTCTAGTGTTAATTTTTTTAGCATTTGTTACAGAAATTTCCGCAGCACTACGTCGTCTTTGTGGTGATATACAATCTGTAAAATGTAAATATGATTTTGTAATGAAAAGTAATGGTAAAAAAAATATTTTAAAAACAGAAAATAATATCAAAAATTATTAGAAAAATAAACATTAAATTAAAAAAAATAATCTTAAACATTTAAAATAGTATGAGATGATGAAAATGTCTTAAGTTGTTATTATTTGTTTTTTGTCAGCTTTTTACAAAATTTTAAATTTCTTTAAATTTAATTATGTTTAATATGAGTTAAAAAGTGTTATATACGCATTAATACTGATAATTAATTCCAAAAAATATTAACATATAAAATATAAAATTAAAGTATAAAAGATAGCAGAAAAAAAATATAAAAGTACTTAAATATTAAAGAAATTATATTAAGTTTAAAAAAGTTAAATTTTTAAACTAAATTTGGAGAAATGATTTAAAAACTTAAAAAGAAGGAAATTAAATAAATAGGTTTTTATGATGATTTTTTTACGAATTAGTGTTAATTGTACAAAAATACTGTATGTTTGTACAATTGTAGAAGGTTATAATAATGCTAATTTTAATTTGTTCATAAAATAATTTTTCTGATTTTATACAAATATACGATTTTTTCAAATTTTCATTTTATACATTATTTTCTAGTATACATTTTTAACATTTTCATATAAACCAATTCTTTTTAACAAATACGGTAGATTATCCATAAATATTTAAAAATTTTTTCTTTTTATCATTTGTACTATCCTTTAATGATATTTCTAATGGTAATGTTCAATACAATATCTTAAATTACAATAGATATTTTTAAATTAAAATAGATTTTTACTCTACTTCTAGTTTAAAATCATTTGCATTTCAAGCATAAATTTTTAATCAAAAAAAAATTTGTTAATACCTTTTGTTGAAAATCTCCTTTTACTTCCTGTCTTATTAAATAAATTATTTGGTTGGAGTGATAGGTTAGGTGTATTTTTCTTTGGACTTGAAAATTTTTTGACAGTTTGCTTTTCTGATTCCAAATTATCATCTGGATTAAATTCCGAAGGATCGATTCCGCTTTTATTTATAGCAAATTTCTTACTACTTTCACTTTTTGGAGTTGTTTTTGTTGTAATATTTGTTAAACTACTTAAACCTTTAGATTCTAACTTAATCGAACTTCTCTTTTCCTTTTGTTCTTTGAAGCATCCCTCCTTCAACCAATAATCAAGCTGTCGCTCGTGGGATTCTGATAAAATTTGTCGTCCTTCTTTATCTGTACTTAACATACTCTAAAAAATTTAATTTTTTTTTTTATAATATTAAATACTGTATTTTAGCATACATATACTCATAAAGATAAATACATACTTATATACTCATAAGCATAAAACACTTATATATGTATATAGGTATATATTTTTATAAATACATTTTATACCTGTAATTTTTGAATACATTTATGGACACATTCTGGTGAAATTAATCCATAGTCAAATAATGACGTCAAATGTAATAAAAAATTGCGAAACAAATTTTTTCGAATTATTTCTTTTCCTTTTGATTCCAAAAACATATCACAGGCTATTGAAAGCTGACAATCACCAACATAACCATGACGCATCACATGTAAGTTCCACATCTTCATAAGTTCCTTTTCACCTTCATTGACATCGCTAAATTCATCGATCATTTGCATTGTTTTTTGGCGAAGCCATAATGGATCTGATTCTCCTTCGGAATCATATTCTAGTTCTTGGGGTTGTATAGGTAAACACGTTTCGGCATGATGGTACAGTCTAATTAAAGTTACAAAAATATTAATGAAATTAAATAACGTTTTTTTTTTATAAATACCTATTATGACCAGTTATATAAGATCTTTGATTATTAATTTCATTTTCGTCTAGTTCTAAGAATTCGCTTAAATTTGCTTTCTGTCTTCGGGGTCTACACACCAATAAATTTGTTACTACTGTGCGACGTCTTGTATTTGTTTGGTATGAGTTTTCTGATGGACCAGGAACATTATAAGGAGAACCAGCATTCGAACCATCGTACATATCGTTAATTGTAACATCAATTCTAGCCGTATTATTTATAGGCACGTATGTGAAATTAAATCGAGGATGACATAACTTTAAATGTTTCAACAAAGCGTATAATTTTCTGCATTTGATTCTGCACCAAGGGCAATCAGCAGTTGAAGCATAATCACTTTGTTGTCTTGAATTATTATTATACATGAAATTGTAGTATATTTGAACACTTTCTCCAGAATTACTTTCCTTTAATTCTCCATTTAATCCGGCTGCTGGGCTAGTAACACTATCTGACGTTTCTACGATCCCTCCAGCTAGAGTATTTGCATTTTGTACTGTAGCTATAGAATTATTATTATGGTTCCGAATTATCTGACTTTCATCATGATCACAATATCCATTTATGTGTGACTTTTCAACCTTTTGTTCATGATTACTCGACCAACTCATATAAAATTGTAAAGTTGGCTGTTTAAAAATATCAAATGAAGGATCGCTTAATATACTAAATTCAGATGGTATAGTTTCCCAATTAATGTATTTTTTTGGAGAACTTTTTGAGGCATATCTTATCTCATGAAGTGCTAAATCATATTTACCACTTGCTAAAATACAGCGATTTTGCTTATCAAATATGGATAAATCAGCACCAAAAAATTTTGTGTTGGGTTTGAGTCGCTTTGTGTTTCTATCTATTTTATACAAAAATTTTAAATATACATGAAATTTTATGTATATACATATATTAAAAAAACAAACAGTAAAACTAAATTTTTATATTACCATCTTGATTTTCATCCAATTCAGTTGCTAATTTTAGAGTTTCTACTTTAAAAAATATGCCGTATGAAACGTTTTGATTATTGTTATTAAGAGGCATGAAACTTTCTGTTGGAATATTTATTTCTAAATTTCGATTTTCTGTCAAACTTTCATCTTCATTAGGATTAACGCAAACATCAACCATACCCATCTTATATGTAAAATAACATTGAATTTTTGTCAAAAATTTTTTGAACAGTTAAAATAATCTTTTATTATAATACTCCTTTTCGAGAAAATTTATAACTTACCGGAATTTGATCAATATCAGACGAAAAATCTTTACGCTTTTTTCTAGATATTTTTAAAAGGAAAATTTCTACTCGAACAATATCATTTTTCTTCCACTCTTCCTCATTGTCATAAAATCCTAAGAACTTCAAGGTAATAGAATCTCCAAAAACATTCGCTTTTTCCATTCTCATTTTATTTAATTTTAGGTCAAGAAGAGACTCTATTTTAAAAGTTGATCTTCTCTGATTTGTCCTCGACATTCGGTGTTTCATGTAAGTTAGGTTACGATTTAAATATAAGGGCTAAAATAAAACAGTTTATGTGCATATTGATTTGTGAACTCAGTAGCATTCTACTTACATTTATAGCATGTCTATTTGCAATATATCGATAAATTTGTGTGGGTTCTGAAAAAATAAAATTGAAAATTTATTCAAAAATTACTGTTTCAAAAATAAATATAAAATTGGATACACGGCTATGCGATTTTATATAAGTATTTTAAGTTTAAATTGATCTTTAACCCGAATACAATCCAATTTCATTTATCACCATTACTCAAATATTGTTGTCAAAATATTATTTGTTTATTTTTATTATTTTTGAAACTCGCGCCTTTTTTTTAACATCATTTCATTAAAAAAAGCAACAAATCAAAACAACCGCGTATTGTAAGATAGTATTGGCTGCTATTATCGCCTTAATTGAAACATCAAAATCAGATATTTCTTTGCAGATTGCAGAAATGAAAGCTTCTCCCCGACAAAAGAAAAAACAATATAGGTTATGTACTATTCCTAAAAAAACTATTTTTAAATTACTCTTTACGTATTATTGAAATTTTCCCATAGATTGTATTAATTTTTAGTATAGTTAAGTATATACTAAATTTATTTATTCCTTTTTTTCTAATTTTTAATTCTAACTACTCACTTTCAAAAGCTTGCAAAAACAACTCGTTATCGAATAGTACCATTCTTGAAGTAGAACTCTCCGGCTCTTTTTCACGCTTTTTTGGTGCCATTTTTGTGTAGCTATTTTTTAATAAGTAATAAAATACAAAAATAACACTTTTAAATCCGTGAAAATTATTAATTAAAAAAAAATAATGTTAATTTTATAGACAATGTAGTTTATTCTTTCGCCTTCTTTCTTTGTTGTCAGTCACACCAACATCAACGAAACAAAAATGGTGCAATTTTGTTTCATTATCAAAATTTTGCATGCAAGTGTTGTCGTTGCATTTTAATGAAACAAATTCTTAGTTGAACACTTGACACTGACAAATAAAGTAGGCATATATAATTTTTCTTGCTTTTTTGTTTTGTTTGGATTCCTGCACTATTTTGACGTTCCAAAATTTATACAATATATCCAAAACCCTAGTAACATTTTGATGATGATATTTTTTAAACAATCCTCACGATATTTCCACAATTCATTAGTTTTCTATAATGCAAACAAAAGTGGTTTAGCCGAACTTCGAAAGAGAACTGGTTACACATTTGCAAATTGTAAAAAGGCATTGGAGTTGAACGGCAACGATGTTAGCAAAGCGGAAGAATGGTTGAATAAACAAGCTCAATCCATGGGGTGGTCTAAAGCCACAAAATTAGAAAACAGAAGTACAACACAAGGATTAGTTGGAGTATTAGTCAAAAATAATATTGGAGCTATGGTTGAAATTAATTGTGAAACTGATTTTGTTGCAAGAAATGAACAATTTAGAAAATTTGTTGAATTTGCAACCAAATTATGCGCTCAATACACAAGCAAGACTGATTTCGATGGAGACCTTTGGAAACTTGGTTTTGAAACAGATGCTCTAAAACATCTGAAAGCAAACGACGGAAAAACTTTATCTGATCATTTGGCTCTTTTAATAGGAACTGTTGGGGAAAATGCCACACTCAAAAGAGCAATTTGCTTTAAAACTAATAATGATTTGAAATTGTACGCTTACACACATCCACCTTCTAATATTAATGAACAATCAGATGTAAGTTTTGGTAAATATGGGACTTTAGTTGCTTTTAGAACGGAAAAGGATGACAAAGAATTGCAAAAAAATATTTGTCAACATATTGTTGGTATGAGCCCAGTCAAAATTGGGAATATAGATAAAGATAAACCATTAGAAAACAAAGACAATGAAACATGTTTAATATTTCAAGAATATCTTTTGGACCCAAATTACTTAGTAAATGATTTCTTGAAGGAAAATAATGTAGAAATAATTGATTATCAAAGATATGAGTGTGGTGAAAATATGAAATGCTTTTCTGAAGAAAATTAACTATCGTACTCAAATTTTTATTCAAGCTCTTTGTTTTTGGAATACTTAAAATTAGCTAATTAGAAATAAAAAAAATTTTCCAAACTTATTCTAACTTTATTTAATTCTCTAATTTGTGTTAGGAAGCTGACAAGCTCGAACGGCTATTAATTGCAATAATACAAATATTGGTGAGAAAACCTCGCTATATTCTAAAGCAGTTTGGCCAGATAACTTTAAACATAGTAAATATTTGAAAATTCCAGTTAAAACTAAAAAATACGTGCTCCACATTAGACGATGCAGTGACTTTCTTCTGTTTTCATTATCTGCATACATTCTTATTCCTACTATAATACAAAAATATGAATTACATATGTCACTACAAAATAACGGGCTAAAAACACTTAACCAATCTAATGAAAATTTTTGCTCAGCTTCAATTTTTAAAGACAACAAAACAGTAAAGACTAATAAACCAGTCAAGTTTGTCAGTATTTCAAATTCTGTTAGTCCTAACCATTTTACCAATTCTGATAATTTAAACATGTTGAATATAGTTTTCTACAAAATTTAATTCAGCTCCTTTTTTAATCCCTTCTATATATTGTTATCAATATTTATGTCAACATTTGTTGATATTTTTATGTGAAGGCATGAATTCAATCGTTTTGCAAGAGTTAGTTCATCATCATCGTGTAATGGATGATGCTCATCAATTAATGTTACTGTTGAAGTATTAGCTTCATATGTCAGTGCTCCATTCGAATTATTTACAAGTCGTAAAGCTAAATTTGCAAGTTTTGGTATAGCTTTCCCAAGCGCATGAAGAAATACTTCACTACAACCGGAGTTTATCAAGTTTTCGCACTGTTTGATGTTAGCTTTTAAATTAGTTTTACTGTTTACATAAATATGATTCTTTTGCTGGTTCCCATATGCTTCAATTGGTTTCCCAGACCTCTTTTTTATATTTTGTTTTTTCAAATCTTTCTTCACATCTGATTTTCCATTTTCTAATTTATTCATCTCGTTTAAATCAAAATCATTCGTTGAATATTGCGGTTCAACTAGCTTTCTAATCAAATATTATAATTTCAAATATTGAATTTGTCAAATATGTAATTATTTTTAAAATCTGTTAATTAAATTGAAAATTGTACGTACAATGACTGTCTATGAAAGTTAAACAGCTCCTGAATTTTGAGTGACATACAAACATAGAAAATATGGAGTTTTGACAATCCACCTAGCTTTCATTTTTAAAAACTGCAATGCTATATAAAACATGGGTCCGATTCAAGAGACCGTTTTGAATTTTATCTCAGTTAGCTTAAAAACAATAAACTTTGTTAACATAAAACGCCTTTTTTAGCAAAAATTATTGTTTAGTATTTTGACAAATCGCACAAAATATCAACAGCCTGATCTCACTTATTTACTCACTTTTTATTCATTTTTAAATTAAAATTCTCAATAATTGCTAATGGACGCTTCACTTTTCCAATAAGATCATTTTTTTTAGTTGGGGTTTTGCATTTTTTCTCAAATTATCGACTAAACGGCTCTTTTTCAAAAACAAGGTGAATAAATTTTGTATGCATTTTAGAAAAAAACGAGATACGTAATACCAAATAATTCCTCTAACTTGAAAATTACATTATACAAGTATATTTACTATAAAGTGGAAAGTGAAAAGAAAGTAAGTATAGTTACTTACTTTCTTTTCACTTTCCGAGCAAAGTAGCGAGATAGACGATCAGGCACCAAATAAGACTTGTTAAAATAATTAGCATATAGTATGACGCTCCCAAAAAAATAAGTCTGTAAAGCAATTTATTTAAAAACTAGTCTCAAGGCTTATCATTTTTAATAAATAAATTATGTGATATCCATTCGTTTATTTCATTTGTATTAAATTGTAAAAACTTTTTATATGACAGTCTTTTATACTTATGAGAACTGACTTATTCATTTTTGTCTCGTGAAGGGGCCTAGATATATAGAATTATTAAATTAATGGACGGGCAGTATTTCAGGTAAATCACTTTCTCAAATCGAAGAATTGTAAAATTGAAATTGTCAGTTCAATGTTTTCAAATAGTTTTTTTTTTTTAAGTGTTAATGAAATCAGTAAAATAGTTTATTATGTAATTTATTATGTATTATGTAAAATATTTCATTATAAAATGATATGAAACATTTCAAACTATTAATTATATTCACAACACGAGACAAAAATTTGTCCGATTCTGAAAAGCTTTTCTGAAAAAGTTTTCTGAACAGCTGTGTCAAAAAGGATTTTCTTTTGGGTAGCATGTGAGACAAAAAAGCACAGCTAAATTTTAAAAAATTAATACATGTTATGAAAAAATTTTAAAAATAATCAGTAATGTGTTTCAGATTTCAGAAATGATCAGATTTTTAAAAATAACACGGCGGAAAATAATTTTTCAAGAAGGTTTTGTCACATTCAGCTGATTTATGCTTTTTTTTTTTAATTTCTATTGCCATTTATACATATATTGCAAATATTAATAAACATAGCCGTCAAAAGTTTGACGTAAAAGTATAAATAGAATCTAATGTGCAAATCAAAATGTCCATCAGATTTAATATTAGGTTAAGTCGTAAGTTTAGTCTGATGTGTCTGTAACTTTAACCTAACAGCAGCATAATGACATATTTATGAACATAAGTACATATTTGAAAAATCAAATGATTAAAAATATGATGAAGGACACGAATTTGAATAATTTGGATGTTAGATATGGGCATCCCTTTCCTCTGTACATGACACCTTGTATTCCATAATCCATTTGACCTTGTATTCCTCCATATTATGATATCTAGATTGTGACTTCTCTAACCATACTTATAAAAGTCGGGCATTATACCATTATGTATGTCTAGATTCTCTTAAAATAAAAATCCTAATACGGACACACCTTATCCACTTGCATTGCATGATTAAGTTAAAATCGAACTACCTGATTAGGTATTTATTTTTTTTTAATTATATTTTAGTCACCCTTGCTAACTCTTTCGATGGGATTCCACCTTGCCGTGGTGAAGGAGCTTAAGTAGGGTCAATGATCTTGAGAGCGATGTCGGCGGGTACTACAATTCTGTGGTATCTGGAAGGTGCAACCATGCCGATAAGGTCGAAAGTGAGACCAGAAAAACCAAGAGAATCTCACGGGCTTGAAGTAACGGCGCAAGCCAATCTTCAGCAAGTCCCACGGGCATGAAGTAACAGCGTAAGCTAATCTTCAACAAGTCCCACCCCCCCCCCCCCAATCCAATGGTGTTATACGACCCGTGCCTAGTGGACTAGTTGGTAGCCGGGGGGTATACTGGCTACCGCGAACGGAGTCTCTCTGATACCGGGTCGCCTCAGAGAGTAACGATGACCTTATCCTGGTAAGTCGGCTCTGGCAGGATGGACTGTTTTTCCGGACACACTCGTGGGATCAAAATGGAAGATTCGACTAAAAAAATTTTAAAAAAACAAGAGCCAATTGGCACCTCGTCAGAAGACGAGATACTAGCTTCCAGTCAGGAAGCAGGTGTATCGATTGGTGGTGATGAAACCAGTAAGGTAGCAAAACCACCAAAACAATCTACACAAAAAGCTAAAGGAACCAGCCATAGTTCCAAAAGCAGAAAATCAAAAGGACCCGCCTTCGTACTCAAGAAGAGATATTCGAAGGCCATCTTCATTTTAGGCAAGATTGCCCAAAATGAAGCAGAAGGTAAAACTTCTGAAAAAGACGCGGAGGACAAAGTCAAATACCAGAAGGTAATTGACGAGTACAATGCGTATAAGAGCACGAAGCCTCAGGAGACCACAAAAAGAGTAAGGTCTCAAGATGAAGAAAGAAATGCTCAAGAGAGCAAAAGGTCGAAGGTCGTCAAGCCAGGGACAACCAGACCTTCAACATCAAGTGGTAATCATGCACAGGGGAGAACAATGAGCGAGGTGGTCCGTGATCATCTCCAGTTTGGGGTGGTGGACAGAAAGTCTACCAACCTGAAGTTGTCCTCCGAATTATGGTGCAAGGTCGAAGCAAAATTATCGGAGATGGTAGTTGAACATCTCCTAACGACCGATGGCAACGAAGTCCTGAGCTTCGATTCATCTGAGGTAGTCAGGGGCTACAGGGTGATCAAATGCGAGGACCGGCTTTCCGGGGATTTTCTTAGTTCGTGTGTTGCTAAGATTAGCGATACATGGGATGGGTCCAAGATTGAGCTCATCCCAGCTAAGGAAATTCCTAGGAGACCCCGGGCTCGTATTTGGATCCCTAAGATGAATATTGCGGGGGACAAGTTGCTAAAGGTCCTAAAGATTGCCAATCCTGAGGTGCCGATGGATGATTGGCAAATTATCAAGAAGGAGGAACCTCAGAAAAACAGTGAGTCCTTCCTACTTCTCATTAATGAGGAGAGTCTACAGCCGTTGGACAGGAGGGACAACAGACTGCGGTTTGGCATACGGCATGCCAAGCTCAAAATATTTCGAAATGCGGACCCAGAAGGGGACGCCATAGAAGAAGCGAGCCAGCTCCTTGAACAGATGGAGGTGGCTGATAAGAGCAAGAGGGATGAGGGTAATCCAGGTTAATCTCAAGCATTCGAGATTAGCCTCGGATAACCTATTGATCTTCCTAGAAGAGGAAGACATCGACATCGCTCTAATTCAGGAGCCTTGGGTGAACGGTAACAGGATAAAGGGACTGGGCACCCAGAAATACAACCTATTCTACAGGATTGTAGATCCAGCTGAAGGTAAGATCAGAACTTGTGTCTTAACTAAAAAACATATAAAAGCCTTTCTTTGCTCTAATTTCAGTACCGCAGACATGACGGTGGTGAGGATTGAAGGAAACGGCGGGAACCTATTAATGAGCTCAGTCTACATGGCTCATGATAGGCCTGCTCCACCTCCGGAAGTTCAAAACCTAGCAGAGGTTGGCGCAGCCGAAGGAGCAAGTCTGCTTATGGGTTGCGACGCCAATGCCAGACATACCCTCTGGGGCAGCACAGAGATCAACGAACGAGGTGAGTCTTTATTTAATTTTGTCTTAGATAGTAATCTAGAGATAGCAAATAGAGGCAACACCCCTACCTTCACTTTTCCTAGCACAGACAGGTTTGCTGGCTGGGAAGATGTGATAGATATAACACTCAAAACTAACAACTGTATAATCGAGGACTGGAGGGTATCTAGCAAAAGGTCGTATTCTGACCATGCCTGGATAGTCTTCACGGTGGGATTCGAAGTTGGGAATCCCAAACCTTTTAGGAACCCTAAAAGAACAGATTGGGTTAAATTCAGAGCCATCGTGCGGGCCAAGCTCATGGTCATGCCCGATATTAACAACTATATTAAGGAAGTCGAAGAACTTGATGCGCAAATCAGTAGATTTGAGAAAGTCATGGGCGTGGCTTTCAGAGCATCCTGTCCTTTGAAATATTCAAAAAAAAAGTATCCCCCGTGGTGGAACGAAGATTTGAGTAATCTCCGGAAGATTACCAGGGATGTCTTCAATATCTGCTACAAGAATGGGTTCTGGCAACCTTATAAGGAGTGCCTGAGAGAGTATAAAAGGGCTATCCGTTCCGCAAAAAGCCAGGGTTGGAGGGATTTTTGCGGAACTGTAGAATGTACCAGAGATTCTGCCAGATTGAGCAGAGTGCTTTCCAAGGACCATACCGGTCCTTCTTTTCTGAAGGATGAGGGTGGGACATGGACAAAAACATCTATGGAAACTCTCAATTTACTAGTGGACACGCATTTCCCGGGTAATACCGGGTCGGCTCGGGAGGCTATCCAGTTGGATTCCCTTCCGGGGCAGCCTGTGTCGAGTGAAATGGTTGAAGCTATCATAGCGCCAAAGATTTTCGACCAATTAGTTTGACTTCCTTCGTTCTAAAAGCGCTGGAGCGCGTTCTGGAGCTAGGGCTCAGGAACAGAATGAAGGAAGTTCGACTTTCGCCTTCCCAGCATGCATATTGCGGGGGAAGGTCCACAGACACCGCACTACACGAGGTAGTGAGGACTATCGAACAATCTATCCATTATAAGCAATACACGTTGGCGGCCTTTCTAGACGTGGAAGGGGCTTTCAACAATATTAGTTCGTGGGCCATAGAAAATTCTCTGACTCAGTTGGGGTTGGAAGATGCTTTGGTACGCTGGATATTATCCATGCTGCGGACCAGGATCCTGTATTCGGATCTTGGTAATAGTAGTGTCGCAAGGTACATTAGTAGGGGAACGCCCCAAGGTGGGGTGATTTCGCCACTTTTGTGGCTTGTTGTTATGAACGAGGTTCTACTGCAACTTGAAGAAAGGCGAGTGAAGGCAGTGGCATACGCTGACGACCTAGTAATCCTGGTTTCCGGCTTTGACCTTCCAACAATCAGTGGGGTTTTGGAAGGATCTCTAAATGTGGTGAGCTCTTGGGCTAAAAGATGTGGCCTTGGAGTGAACCCAGCCAAGACGGAACTTGTACTTTTTACGAGTAAGACAAAAATCCCGAGCTTTGGACTGCCCCGATTGGGTGGTTTGCGGCTCAGTTTGAGTCCGGCAGTTAAGTATTTGGGAGTCATACTCGACTCTAAACTTAACTGGAAGCTTAACGTGCAAGAGAGGGTGAACAAGGCCTGTACGGCACTTTACACCTGCAAAAAGATGGTCGGCAGGAGGTGGGGGCTGAAACCTAGAATGGTTTTATGGTTATACACGGCCATTGTACGACCTATATTAACTTACGGTTCACTCGTGTGGTGGCCGGCGTTGGGGAAAGCTTACAACTGTACCAAGATCGGTAGGGTACAGAGGGCTGCATGCATAAGCATTACGGGGGCATTGAGATCGACGCCCACGGACGCTATGGATGTACTCCTCCATTTGCTTCCACCAGACATCCATATTAAGAATCTGGCCGCGGCAAGCGCCGTTAGACTCAGAGAAGCTGAGTGCTGGCACGAAAGGCCGTATGGCCACGGCAATGTCCTTCAGTCACTACCGGACGGAGTGGTTGCGGATGCTACAGACTATTGCATCCCTAGACTTGAGCTTGACAAGAAGTTTCGGGTTGAGCTTCCGTCTCGCGGGCAGTGGAAAAGAAATCTTCCACTGCAAGGCTTTGATGTTGCTCTCTTCACTGACGGTTCCAAGGATAGGAATGGGGTCGGTGCTGGAGTATTTTCGGAGACTCAGAACATATCGGAGTCATATCGCCTTCCCAACGGATCGAGCGTGTTCCAGGCGGAAGTATTCGCCATATGGAAGGCATGCGAAATCCTGGGAAGGGATTTGGTTGTGGCCCGGGAGGTCGCAATTGTGACGGATAGTCAGGCTGCGATTCTGGCTCTAAATTCGCCAAAGATATTCTCAAAGTTGGTAGGGCTTTGCTACGATGAGCTGACGAGATTGTGCAGTCATCATAGTATCACCTTACTCTGGGTTCCGGGACATAGGAACATACCAGGAAACGAGCGGGCTGACGAGCTGGCCAGATGTGGGTCGGCATTGGACGGCTCCAGGGCCGAGCGAGTTCTTGTCCCTATAAACACCATCAAAACTGATATATACCGCTTCCAAGTGGCATGTGCGGACCGCAGGTGGAAGGGCCTGAGCACATGTGCAACGGCTAGGAAGACGTGGCCGAAATACGACCATAAGAAATCAATGAGCCTCCTGGCGATGCCTCGACCGGACATAGCTAAGTTGGTGGCTGTGTACACGGGGCATTGGCCTGTGGGGGATCATGCAGCTAGGCTGGGAATTCCCTTTAATACGTCATGCCGCAGTTGTCGGGAGATAGACAAAAAAGAGACGCTTTTTCACTATCTCTGCGAGTGTCCGGCTCTTCAAAGGGCCAGGTTGTTGTCATTTGGGGAAACGGACATAATGGAATTGGGGAACATTTCTAATAAAAGTATCGGGGACGTAAATAAGTTCCTTAAAAGAACGGGGTGGCTCTGATCGCTGGCCCTGGACCAACGTACTTTGACAACCGGGTTTCACGAGGCGGTGGTAGCAAAACGGCACGTCGGTGCTAATTGGGGTGTTGGCCAGTCGGGTCGCACCGGCCACTCTAACCAACCAACCAACCACCCTTGCTAATAATTTTCAATTCAAAACTGTAATTTTTTTCATTTAGTTTTTCATTTTTTTGTTTTTTCTTATGTATGTATGTATGTATATCGATATAACGTCTCATTTTCAAAAACAAAGTGATTAAGTTTGAGAACATTATAGTCTTGTTTATACATACTTCAATATGCATTTGAAAAATACTTACAATATGCATTTGCATTGTGGTACGTGATATGAAATTAAAATCCACATTGTAATGGTGGAGGTATTATATTCATATATGTATGTATGTACATTTTTTCAAATTGTTTTAAACTGTTAATTAAAATTATTTAAATAAAATAAACATTTCGAAATTTAAAATATGTATTTATTAATCTTAATTATCATCTACAATTTTTTTATTTAAAAATAGCACACGAAGATCATCCAAAAAAAAAACATTTACTTTACCGTAGAAGAATATTATTAACAAATTTTTTAAATAAACTAATCATACATATTCTTTTTAACGAATTATTTAATTTTTAATAACTTTTATATTTTGAAACTATTAATAGTTACGTATTTGTTTAAATGTACATATCTTGATTTATTTATAATTCGTTTTTTTTTCAATGTTATGCGTTTGATATAGAAACAGAATTACTAAGAAACAATAAAATTTTTTTATGCATTTATTATTAGTGTTTTTTATAATTATGGAATATTTATTAAATTTATACATACACATATTTTTATGAAAATTCTTCTCACTCTTTCCTTGCAGCAACTAAATTTGAAATAAAAATGAATATTTTTTTTATTAAGGAATATTTTGTTAATGTAAAACATTAACACAATCATTTGTATCTGTTATACATAGTAAAACGAAATTCCATTCATTTTTTGAAAAAAATAACCATAAAAAGGTGTTATAAAATTTATAAAAAATTTCGAGAAATGAAGTTTTGCCCACTTTTATAGGCCAACGCTTTTGTTCCTTTTGCAAAATTAAAATATTTGAATTAATTATAATATGCTAGTTGCTTATTCAATAAGATCTAAATATGCAACTTGCCACAAAATATGATTTACGTATAGGGAAATGTTTAAAATGTAATTTGTAATACATGTATACCACACCTGAAGCGTGTATTATTTAACATTTCGAAAGTAAACTTGATAATATAGGATTTTATACAAATGAAATGCTAAAAGCAAAAAAAATGCTTTATGATAAATATCTGTGCTTTATTTTGAGAACCAAAATTCACATTTGATAAAAAAAAATTTTTATCCGAATTTTTTGAAAGAAAAGGATTTTTTCCTCAAATTTTGGAAATTCATTTAGAAATAAAATTTTGGTACATCATGAATTTATACTTTCAGTGATCCAAAATCTCTTAACAATATCTTTGATTTTTTAAAACAATTCCTCTTACATTTTTTAATTAAATAAATATAAGAATTAAAGTATTTTAATTACAAGGCATTTTTTACTAACAAATTAGTAAATTTGAATAATAATTTTTAAGAAATAAATTATTTGAACAGGTATATTTACAGAACTCTGATTTTCATTTATGGTAAATTAAATATAAAATAAAATTAAAAAACAATATTTTCTAGTTTATATTTTTCTTTTTCGTTATATTTAAACACTTTCTTTATTTACATATTTTTAAATATGCGATTTTAATTACAGTTAAAGTAAAAAATAAAATCAAAACGTAATAAGCGTTAAATTATTTATTTTTTAATAAAATATTTTTATATTTAATATTTATTTTATTTATTGTAGCAAAGGATTAAAACCAAGTTTAAAATCAACTAAATATAAAATAATTTTTTAAAGATAAGGCATTGTGAAATAATAACCAACGATTTTAATTTACTTTTCTCTATTTAAAAACATAATTATTACCTTAATAAAAATAAAAGAATCTTAATAACTAATTTGAAAAGACCTAAACTATATGAATTTTATGAATATGAATATTCTCCAAAATATCGCATAATTAAAGTTTAATTAATAAAAATGTATTAAGGTCTTACAAAATTTATGTGTATCATAAGACTGAAAATAAATGAAGGTTTTACAATTATAATTTCCAATTGGTATATTTTGGATTTTTTAATCATCATCTATAATATGCATTCAATAATAATTGAATATCTAACTATATTTGGCAATATAATTGAGATTTCAACAGCAAATATTGGATTTTTTCTTTGATTATTTAAATGTTGAAGATAGAAAAAATCCTTAAGTTTTAAATAAAAAATGCAAAATTAAGCTATAACTGTTGAGATCATATCAACAATATATTTTATCCTTAACTTTGTGGGCATAGAAATAATATAAAAACCAATAACTTTTTATTAACTCAGCCCTAATATTGTAGTAAAATCCTTTTTTAATATTAAAACTAAATCATAACTTCATTTTTACTTAAACAAATTTATGAATTTTAAACCAATTTTTAATTACATAGCTTTATAGAATTGACGATGTAAAGTGTTATATGTATCTTTATTGTATTTTCACGAGAAATAAAATTTGATTTTGAAATTTTCTTCTAAGAAATAAAATATTTTCTGATTTTTTATTAAATAAAATATTGTTTATATTCCTTTTATAGGTTTTATCACGAATTTCAACAAAAATTATAAAAATCAAATTCAAGTAATTTATAATTTAATTTACTTAAATTCAGTGTTGATTTTACCCTTTCGTACTATTATATTAATGTTCAAAGTTTTGACTTTAAAATAAAAAAGCACATATTAAATAATATTGATTTAGTACATAACATTGTGTTTCTGTAAAATAAAATTTATCTGTTCAGAAATCATGTAATTAGTAATTAATATTTAAATACATATGTATTTAAATACATATATAAATATGTATGACCCTTTCGTCAATTTTATTATTATCAATATTTTCATTATTTTTATCCTTAATATTGTTATTATAATTATAAATTATTAATATGTTATATACTATATTTAATTTAAATTGTTTTTATTTTTTTTACGATTAATTTGTACGCGCAATATAAAACTATACAAAACAAATTATAATATCAAAACGAAAAGCTATCTTTATTTAATTTGCTTTTTAAATAAATAAAAAATTTATATAATTATTATAATTGTTAATTCAAATAAAAATTGAATTAAAATAAACAAATAAAAAGAGGACTCATACTTATGCTTTCGAGCATCTTCTTTTACAATTTTTTTTTTAGTTTTTCGTTTCTAAATCAGTAGTTTTCTTAACTATTTTGCTTTTTATGAAATGATAATTATAAAAACTTATGGGTATTTTATTTTTAATTACTTCTATTTTATCAACGTATTATAAAACATGTTAAACTTACATTATAAAAATTGTTTTTAATTTTACTTTTGCCTTTTCTTCTTCAAAAATATTTTGATTATTTTAAAATTATACAATTTTAGTTTAAGCTAAGCGAACCCTGGATCTGGTTTCAAAGTTAGATATTCAAGTTAATTTTTTGTATATTGAGAAAAATGTAATCAAAATACATACTAGGTAGTTATTTTTATGAGTCTTAAGAAGGAATCAGCGATAAAGTATGTAAACAATTTTCAATTACATACAATATTTTTATTTATATAATTCCAAATTATTTAAATAAATATTTGCTGAAGGGAAAACAAGAAAAAAAATTAGGGAGATTCATTTTTCAATGGGTCTTTTTTTTAAATTTTAAAAACTACTGAAATAGACAGATTAGAAAAATTTAACCAAAACTTAAAACTTTCCACATGTTTTCTTTCATGCACGCTTTTACGAAACAAATCTTATATTTAAAATGTTATTTAATTCTGAACTATTTTGAGCTATACTTATAAGTAAGATCTTTTTTTTTTGTAATTTTTTTATTGTTTTGAAATATTTTTTTTTATAATAATATTAGCTTCAATAAAAATCTAAAATCTAAGAATCGTTATAATTAGATAAATATTAATTATTATAGACCAAAAATTGTTTTTTTTTTTTAATTGTTTTAAAGCCTATCAATTTTGTTTACTTTTTGCCTTTTTTTTTGAATTTTCCTTTCTTTTTTGTTTTTGTAAAAAACTATCTAGCTTAAATAAATGTTAATTAATTATTTATATAAAGAATTTTTAAATTTTGTAATTTGTATTTATTTTAATTTTTTATATCAATTTTTATAATTGAAATATAATAATATATTTTTATTCTAAGCAGTGATAAGAATATTCTAACAGAAAAAATTTAATTTTTTTAATAAAATTATAAAATACTTAGAGATTAAAAAAGTAGTAATGAATAACTACTACGAAAATAATAAACATACAAAAGTTTTCAGTTAAAACAAACATTATACTGAATAAATACGCAATTAGCCACGATGCATACTCCCATCCCAATATTGAATATTAAACTTAAAGTGAGAATCTTTTGCAGTTTCATTTTGTTTTTCGAAGCTATATTCTTAAACTTAAAAAAAAAAATAAAAAGTATAGTTTTAGAATTTATAAGTTATTTTAGCACTTATTGTTTTGTATAATTTGAAGCATTTTTGATTTTCTGTTCGATAGATGAAAGTGTTGACGAATAATGTTAAAATATGTATTTGTAGAGGAGGGAATTGACTAAATTTCAAAAACATAATCTTTCCGCTTTTTCCATTCATTTAGTATTTAAATGCTATTATAATTTTTAATGGAAATAAAATGCGAGCATGCAACGGCTTATTGAATAATTTATTCATTACAATAAATATTTTAGCTATGACTTAAAAGAATATTAGAATTTATTTTATACAATTATGTATCTATAACATACGTATCTAATAATTTTATAAGGGATACTCATATTATTATTATGTTTTTATAATTTCTTAGTTAAAATTTATGTATTATATATATATGTACATATGCATAAATATATATACATATGAATATAGAAATATATACATAACATGTGTCTAAGAAATTTAGATAATAATTTGGAATCTTATTTTTCGTTTCTTTTCTTTAAAGTTTTAGATTTTTTAAATGTCTTAAGTCTAAATTTAAAAGTAGTTCATTAAAAATTATTTTAAGTTCTGATATATAGTTTAAAATTAATTTTAAGTTTTCCAGTTATTCTGACGGCTATTACTAGGTCCAGGTGCTTGAGGTGGTATCATTTCAAGTAAATATTGCCTTTGTATTTCTGCTGCTCTTTGAATATCTGCTAGACTTGGTGGATTTTTTCCAGCTAAATATGAAAACATAAAACATAAAATATATATAAATTAAAGCAATTATAAGTTAAAAATACAAGTTTTAAGTTTAATAAAAAAATTACGTACCAACAGCTGCTTGTGCTAATGCCAAATGGTATGAATATAATAGAGGTGTAAACATATGATGTTGTTGAGGATTTCCAGATGCTAAACCTTGCTGTAAGCCTACAATTTTCTTTCATTGATGACTACAGAAAAAAAATAATAATCTTTTAACTTACCCCTAAATAGCTGTTGCTGAAAAGCTTGCATAGCAGCAGTTGTAGCAGCAGGTGATGCATTTCCTAAGTTACCTAAATTACCGATATTGCCGAGATTACCAAGATTCCCAAGACTTCCAAGATTACCGAGATTTCCTAGATTACCAAGGTTACCAAGATTGCCTAAATTTCCTAAATTTCCTAATGCTCCCAAATTCATTGGTAAACCGGCTAAACTTCCTAATGCAGTTAATTGAGCTGCAGCAGCAGCAGCAGCAGCATTTGAATATTTGTCATAAGCTGATGATGAAGCAGAAGATGGTGTCGGTGTGGCATTTTGCTCATGCCTGGGTGTTCGGGACGGCGGGGGAGGTGTCGGTTGACTTTTAGGATGTTGTCCAGCTTGCTGCATGTGTGAATGATGTGATTGATGATGGTGAATTGATTGTTGTGATTGATGTTGCTGTTGTGATTGGTGCTGACGGGTTTGTGATTGTGGTTGATGCGACTGATGTGACTGATGAGATTGATGTGCTTGATGGGCTTGGTGTGACTGATGAGATTGATGTGACTGATGTGACTGATGAGCTTGGTGTGATTGATGCTGAAGTGATTGATGAGATTGATGCGATTGATGTGATTGATGTGACTGATGAGCTTGAAGTGATGGATGCGATTGATGTGACTGATGTGACTGATGTGATTGATGAGCTTGATGGGATTGATGAGATTGATGAACTTGATGAGCTTGATGGGATTGATGGGATTGATGAGATTGATGTGAGGAGTGAGACTGATGCGACTGGTGTGACTGATGGGATTGATGAGATTGATGTGATTGATGCGACTGATGTGATTGAAGTGATTGATGAGCTTGATGGTGCTGATGTTGATGTGATTGGTGTGACTGATGCGACTGATGATGATGATGTTGTGAAGGTTGTGGAGTTATAGTAACTTGTGCAGGTGGTAGTGGAGGAGGTGGGGTTGGACGGGGCGTTGGAGTCTGGGATGGCGTAGGAGTTTGTGATTTCATTGGTATTGGTTGAACAGATACTATCGGTTGAGGTGGTTGCTGATGTGGAATTACAGTAATGGGTGTTGAAGAATGAGAGTCCACAGGTGAAGGACTGTTTTGCGAAGCTAATCGTTGTTCAATTTCTTGTTCCTAAAATGACCAACAATATATATATTTCTTCAGTTTTCAAAATATTTTTATAAAGTTATACTTGTTGTAATGCTTTTACGAAAGCAGTCTTCAGTCGGTTAGTATGTTCCGCCTTCAGTGCCTTCTTAACATTAGTTGTGACACATTGTTCACATATAACTTTTGGATCTTTGCTTCCTAAAAAATATAAAGCGAATTAGTTTCATAAAATTTAGAAATTGTTAACCGTTTTGTCTAAATTAATGAAAAAGTATATATCCTTAAATACAACTACCTTGTTTTTCCCATTTCCAAACCGGCGTAAAATCAATTTTACATTGAGCGCATCTAAATGGAGGTAAAACTGTAGATTTTTGATCTTTGGTAGTTAAATAGTCCACAACCGTTTCCAAACCCAGCAAGTATACGAATTCTGTATTACTTGGATTTGGTATAAAATGCATTTCGGGTGGCGGGGGTTTTGGTGGAGGAATCTGTTGTAATCGTAAATATTTGTAAATTTTTGTTCTCATAAAATAAAAATTATCAATTACTTGGAGCAATGTTTTTTCCAATTGCTTTCTAAGAGCTAATTTAGCTGCCGCCTGTCTTTGAGCTGGAGTTTGAACATCCTCTCTCGATGCAATACGTTCATTCTGCACAAAAGAATTTAAATTAATACCAGCTTTGACAGGAGATGTATCAAATAATACCTTGGATTTTAAATTTTCGTTTTGCTGCTGCTGTTTAATTGGTGGGGCCGGTGTTATGGAAACTGAATTACTGATTGTTCCAGGTACCTGTTTGGGATTATCCGTAACAGTAAGCTGCTTGCATTATAATTTATATTATGTTTATGTTATTTTAGGTCAATTAAAAATATTTAAATACTGATCACAGACGTAATAAAGAGATTTGTTAGTTACTACGTGTATGTAGGAAAAATTTATTTTAATCTAATTTACAATCAATCAATTTAATTAGAAAAATACTCATAAAAAACTGTCCTAAATATTCTAGCAGAATTGTAACATGGACAGATTTGAAACAGAGTTTGTATATATGCATATATAGGCATATATAATAATGATTTCTTTTTAAGAGTGATAATTTCTGAATAGAAGGAAGTTAAAATTGGAATAAATAAGCATTATTATTATCTGAATAAAATTGTTGCAGTGGCAGAGGAGAATAAATTGAATTTTCATTTTGATTATAAACTGGTTGTATACATTACTGCGACTCACATTGCGTGGTTTTACTCCAGCTGGAGGGGCAGATGTTGGTGTTATTGTCACTGATGGCGTAATTGTGAGATTCGATCCTGTTCTTGGCAATATTGTGTTGTTTCTTAATGGACTACTAGCGGTGAGAGTTGCTCCACCTGGCAGGGAAGACCTGGGAGGGGGAAGTACTGAATTCGTCCTTCCAATTGTGATTTGTTGGTTCCGGTTACTGTTACTAAAAAAGAAATATTTAAAAAGAACTTTATGTATTACATTTTTTTAAAGAGCTTACTTTAATGCTGTAACGTTACTTCTAGTATTTTTAGCATGAGCCGGTAGTGGCACCGCTGTCGTTGGGGTTACACTTAAACTGCCTTTGGTTAATGCTTGTGGTATAGCAGTTAATGGATTTGAAGTTGGCGAAATTGTAGCCGGTGTTACAATGAAGTTCTCTTTTAGCACTATTTGGGATTGCTTTAATTTTTTTAATAAAACTAATTTGGTCTCCTCATTTCTTAAATCTTCTCTTAATTTCCTTAATTCAATATCACGCCTTTTGATTTCTTCAGATGTGAGTTCTTTCATTGGTGGAAGCGGAGGCAATGGTAATTCTTCATCGCTATCATAATCTGATTCAGAATCAATATTTCCATTTTGTTGACGATGATGATTACTTTGCCTACCATTAACTCTGGAAGCTGGCAAAAGGACAATATCGGGCGCCTCAGCATAAGATTTTGGTTCAGTTCTGGGACGTAGAACTCGTCTCATTGGTTTATCTTCACTACTTGAATTGTTTATGATATTCAAATTACTACTAATAGTAATATTATTATTACTATTGTTACTATTATTATTATTATTATTATTATTATTGTTATTATAATTATTATTATTGTTATTATTATTATTATTGTTATTAGTAATATTATCATTATTATTGTTGTTATCATCATCATTATCATTTACGTTATTGTTAAAGTTGTTATTGTTGTTATTGTTTTTGTTATTATTATTACTGTTATTATTATTATTATTATTATTGTTACTGTTATTATTACTGTTATCAATACAATTTTTGCTACCCGTGTTATTTTCGTTATTTCTAATATTATCAATTCTCATATTGGTAGCACTACTATGGTTACTTGTATTAATTGCGTTGCTGTTGCTATTGAAACTACGGTTTTCATTTTTATTGATATTGATATTTTTATCGTGTTGGCCCGCATTATCGTTGGTTTTATTTTGACAGCTGCTTTCTTTGTTACTTGCGTGTTTGCTATTGGTTTTATTTTCACTATCATTGTTACCATAACTACTATTATCATTGTCAACATTAATAATATTATTGCCGTTATTGCTATTAGTATTTATATCATTCTTATTCTTACTGTTATTACTTTTGTTGTTGTCATTAACATGACTATTATCATCATTCTTGGTTTTACTATTACCAGAATAATTTTTACTACTTTTGCTCGAATTAGCAATAGAGCTATTATCATTTTGATTATCAACAATTTTGTTTTTATTTTTGTCAGCTTCTGGTTCATTATTATTATCATTATTGATTTCTTTATTTTTCTTATTATTACTGTTTTCATCAACTTTGTTATTATTTTTATTGTTAACATTTTCATTATTTTGATGACTTGTGCTTTCATCAAGGTCCTTGTTATCATTATCATTTCTATTATTTATATCGTTATCGTTACTTTTACTAACTTTACTTTCACGATCTTCATTATTGATTTTGTTACCTCTATTTTTCTCACTTTCATTTAGCTTTTTATTAAAACTATTACCAGGTTCGATTTCAAAATTTTTATTTTTACCATCCTTACTCCCGCTGCTAACCTTGCTGTAATCATAAATTGTATCAATGTTGCTATTTCCATCATTATCATTACTTTTGTTATTTTTGTTGTCATCATTTTTATTACTATTGTTATCTTTGTTATTATTATCGCTACTACTGCTTTTATTTATATTGTTGTTTGTGTTATCTTTGCTCTTTCCGCAAATAACAACATCGTTGTTACGATCGTTATTGAGATTATTATTGCTATTATTATTATTAATATTATATTTATTACCATTATTATTACTATTATTGTTGTCATTATTATTCTTGTTATTATTATTTCCATTATTATTATTACTCTTATTATTATCATTATGTTCGCCATCGTCATTATTATTTTTTCCATTGTTGGCTTCAGTTTTATTATTACTGTCGTTATTATCATTATTACTATTATATTTGCAGTCACTATAGTTTTTATCAATATCTGGATCTATTCCTTTAGAATTGGTATTATTATTGTTATCACTGTTTTTATTAGTGTTATCGATATTTGTATTATTACTATTATTATTACTTTTATTATTATCCTCATTATCATTTTTATCATTACCATCATTATCATCATTATCATTATTATTATTATTATTATTATTAATATTATTTTTATTATTATTATTATTATTATTATTATTATTATTATTATTATTGTTATTATTATTTATGTTGTTATCATCTTCTTTTGTTTTAACATCATCACCATGGTTATCATCATCAACGTTTTTATTTTTATCATTATTGCTGTTACTAACACCAATTTCACTGTTGGAAAGCTGTTCGCTATCTATTTGTAGTGGAGTTAACGTAAAATTTGAATTTTCTTCTATGGCTCTTAGCCCTTGAACAGTTGAAGGGGTAGTTAAAGGTTCTTGTCCGGATGCAATACTTAAATCTACAACATCGTCGACATCCATTTTTGCCATTTAGATATATTTCTTAAAGTTTGTGAAGAAACTTATTGATTAAAATCTCTAAAAAGAAAAAAAGAAAAAATAAAAAACTTCAATGAATAGCTACTTTAGTTTTGAAAAAAAATATGTAAGGGGTATAAAGTTTAATGTACTTATATTCCTCTATGAAAAAAATAAAATAAGTATATTGATTTTTTTTTCATAAATTTTTGCCTAAAGATAGTAGTGGTTCACCCAAATTCACCTTTGAATTAGCGAATATGCCAAATCTTTGTTATTTTTTTTTTTCAATTAAAGATGAAATTAACATTTAATACCGAACGAGGTTTCAGGCAACGTGGTGAGCTGACTAGTTAGAATCAAGTTTCTAGAGGGACCTGCGCTTTCTGGACCAGAGGAAAATTCTGACGAATCAAGGTGAACATCCACCACGTCAAAACATGTAGAGGTAGTGTGGGATTGTGGGCACGACCTATGCACAACTTGCATTCTTATAAGAAAATGTATTATTTTTGTTTTACTTTTGGTATTTACGCTAAGAGGAATAGCCGCTGTCAAGATCCGCATCAACACTGGAAGAAAAAGTACGGAAGTAGTTGTGGCATTAACATACTTTGCAGGTAACGGACAGCTGCCTCACCGACGGAGCTCACCTTTATTGTTTGTATCCCTACTCAACTGCAAGGTGAGTTCTTGTTGGAAATTTTAGTATAAGAACACTTTAATTATAAGAGAAAAAGTGTTGAAAAGAGAAACCTAGTTGGGAGTAGGAAGCTTTAGGACTTTTGCTCGAAAGTAAAAGACGGGCGCGACTGCGAGACTACAAAAGTCCAAATTGATGATCTCGACATCTTTGAGGAAACTCATTCTTCTGACAGCATGTTGGGATTTGCAAGATTACAGAGTGCCAAATCATGAGCATTGGAACAGAGTAGCTTTTATATGTACTGACCAAAGTATAAATTGGGCATTCAGAATTTTTAACCTTGAATAATTCACGGCGGCAGGAGTCGAGGATTTTTTAGGGATCATGAGAAATTTTCTATTGACATTCCACTCGCTTATATGCCCAAGGACAAATTGTTTAGAAAGTATAGCTTCGAGAAAAACTGCTCGAGTGTTGGTCTATCTTTAAAGACAAAATGAATACGAGCACAACTCGGTAGCTCTGTACTACATATCACGACACGTTGGAATAGAAGGTAATAAACGGGCTAAGTGCTAGTGAAGCGTGGTAACTCCTTTTTAGGTTGAAGGAGCTCAGAAAATAAATCGAGAATCGCGCAGATCTGTAATGCTACAAGGAAGCACTATGACCAGAAATGTTACAGAAAAGTCATGAATAAATACCAAAATGCCAAATTAGAAAGGTTCAGAGGACGATGGTGTCTGTAGATTCTGTGGAAAAAAGGAAAGACTTCGATGCACCTTCTTATGAAATGTGCAAATTTACTGAAAAGATTGGCCTCGGAGATTACTGTAGACGTCATTTATGCACTCAGTTGAAGGCATAATATTTAATGTAGATTTTTTAACAATGGGTCGAATTGCACTGTCTACTTTTTGTTACAAAATCTAAAAATCCACATTTAATACTATTTTATAAATAATTAACATTTTATGCTTAAATTATTAACAAATTTGTAATTTTCGTATAAAATTTCATTGAATTTTTATTAATAAGTTATTTTGAGATTTTCAACCTTTGAAATTTTGGCAATAAGAATTCGTAACAAATCAAAAATGAGAATTTTTCACCTTTAAATTATTATATAAATACTTATAATAATTATAATATATTTTTAAATTTAATATTAGTAAAAAAAAAAAAATAAAATTTAAACCATTTTATAAACCTAAAAATTATTTTTCTATTGAAAAGTGAATGGAAAGTTATAAAATATCCGTAATAAAATTATAATTAGTTAGTAATAAACAATGGATACATAAAATAATTAAGGTAACATAAAATAAACTTAAAAAAAAAAGATTTGCAAATTGAACTATTTACTTATGCGCAAGCACTATTATGTATTGTGACGCTCGTATATGCTGTGTGTACATGAATAATGAAAATTTATTGAAAAAACCGTACTATATAATAGTGTTATAATTCCGGATTCCCCTTGTTCCTCTACGTTTAACATAAATTTGTGATGTTACTCCAATAACGAAAAGTAAAAATCGATTAGGATTCATATTGAGATTTGAGAGGTAACACATCAATATGACGATCTTAACAGTACAGAAAGTATAGTTCAATATATCAAGATCAGAGATATTGGTAAACTTTATACCGTTATGTTTTTATATCAGTAAAAACAAAAAATCCCAAGGCTTTTCGGTTTTTTTAATAATTTTTGTTTATTTGTAAACATTTCGGTTTTGAAAAAAATTTGATTTTTTAATTGCACGGGTTGATGGTACGGATATACATACATATATTTTTGTTCAATTTTGCTAAGTTTTAAAATAGTTTGTGCATATGTCGATAACTAAACTAACGAAAATTTAAATTTTTAAATTATGTAGTGATTAACTTAAATTTCTGGTCAATCAAACAAATCTTATTTCTATTGAGTCCTAGTTGAAATGGGCTGATTGACAATTAAAGTTTGATTTATAGATACTTGATTCGAGTTTTAAGTGAATGTCTGAACTATCGAAAGTTATAGTCGGTATAAGTAGCCTACATATATACATATATTTAACTACATTGTGTTTGTTAATGCATAATATTTCTAAAAATTAACACAACTTTTAAAAATTTTTAAGTTAGTTTAGAAAAAGACATTAAATATTATGTTACGAGAACTTTTAATACTTAGTTTAAGAATATGGAGCTATACAGTGTGGACAACACATAATAGTGGCAAATAATAATATCTTGGTGCACATATTCAATTATTTACTTTAAAAAATTTAACGGATTCTTAAAATGACGAAAAAAAACCAAACAAAAGAAACAAGAATTCGTTACTTAATTTAATTTATACCTAATTTTAGAATACTTAATATTTTGTATGTAAATTCATATTACTTCGCGTCAATTTTTTAAGTATTACTTTAAAATTTAAAATACATAAGTACTTGAAAATACATAAACAAAGGTATCATAAAGGAAAAACTTTATATACATACATAAGTATTTAAGAAAATTTAAATATATTTAAGGTAAGTGTCCCTAATACTGACATATTTCGCAACAAATTCAACTTTGATGTGAGATATTTTGGGCACAATAAGCGATTCTGTTCCTGATTTTTTAAATAATTTAGAAAATTGAGAATAATGTTTTTTACAAAATTATTTAATAAAAATATATTCTAATTCATGATTTTTCGATTAAAGATGAAAAGGAAAAATATTCCTAATATTGATCTATGCGCAAAAAATTGTAATCTACATTCTATATATGAATAATGGTTCAAAAGGGTTAAAATGATAATATTCAATAAAAATAGAATAAAAATTTAGATTTCTACAGATATTTCATCTTGTTTAAAAAAAAATTTAAAAATGGATCAAATTATAATTCAAACAAAAAGAAAAAGCATATTGACACATATGTTAGTAATAAAAGCAGGGTCGAATTTAAGATGTTCCTAATACTGGGAGAAATAATTTTTAAAAATTCTTATTTATTTAACGTTTTTACTCCGAATAACTTATAAAATAAGCAAAAATATAATCAAAATATTTAATTTAATATAAATACATATATTTTTAACCCTCACATAAATCAGAAAACAATTAAAACAAAATCGGAAAAATTAAGCAAAAAGTACAAGAAATTCTTCAATGTAACCCACTTTTGCTATGTCTATAAAAACAAAACTGATATATGTTTAATTTTTTGCAGTTATTTAAAAACTGAATAAAAGAAAGTATTGCGATAATTTGAATTAATCTAGAAATAAAAAAATATATATATGTTGTATAGAGAAAATCTCTTAATAATTAAAAAAAACCTCGTATATGTCAGTATTACAGCCACTGTCAGTATTAGAGACACTTACCTTATAAGAAATATTTTTTCTTCTAACTTACGGATGTTGCATACGAAATATTAGAAATTACGGCCGAATGCAACAGATATGTATGTATGTATGCCTTTATATAATTATAATTTTTTACATATTTAAACTAGTTAATAACACATAAGTATTTGATCACCTAATAATTGAACCATTAAATCAAACTTGATGGTAACAAAGGCACAAATAATAAAAAAAAATAACCATTTTTTTATAACTGACCTTTTAATGAGCAAACGCATTGCATACAATTAGGGAGATAATGTGATGGCACCGAATTTCAAACAAATACTTAAAAAATATTTGTTAACATTTTTAATTAATTTATTTCATAATTATTATGGGCTCAAGAATTTGTTATAAATGTACTAGAACAATATAAAACTTTAATTAATTTTTTCTTCATTTCAAATAATTTGTTCAACATTTAAAACTTAAATTCAAGGTTTAAAAAAATTATCCAAGGCTGATTTGAAAAAAGTTTTAATACAAATGGAATGTAAATTAGAAGTGTTTGTAATGTAATGCATAAACAGAAGATTATTTAGTTTATTCATATACTTATTTCTGTATAATTTTTAGCAGTTCCATACATATGTATATGTACCATACGTATGCACATTAATTACATAAACTATTTATGTACAACACTTAGCATATGTATGCATTTACATAATCAAAAAATAATGTCAGTAATGACTTTATCTTATCTTAATCTCAATGTTACAAAATTAATTTTATTAAGATAAAATAAGGTAGAAATTATGAAATGTCAATAAAAAGCACAAATATTGTGATATTTTTCACCTGTCTTGAAAAATTATTTTCTTTCTTTTTTAGGAATAATTTTATGTACATACATATGAACATAAATATATGTATGTATATACAATTTTTGCAATAATTTAATGTAAGATAATCATGTCTATATTTTATGGACCATTTTATATGCAAATACATATTTTGTATAACTAATAAAACCTAATTTGGTGATGTGAAAATAATTAATTTTTATTTGGAACT